GTTCTTTTAAATGAACAGAAATGAAGGAAAAACAGAAACAAGTTTAGTGGTACTCCAATTCGCCTGTGCTTATTTCTAATTGTACAATGAATTTTAACAGAACTACTTTTGATTTAGCTTAAAGTAACCTAATATGACAGTTTTTAACATTATCACTGGAGCGTAATTATAAACAAGCACCGTAAGGAGCTTTAGAAATGTCGCCAAACCCATGTATTTGTATCGAGATTGCATTGTCACATAAACATGACGAGGAACATGACTATTCCGTAAGAGTTGTAAATGACTGCAAAATGTTTGCCAGTCATTTAAAATGTCTGGGTAATTCATTATCCCAACCAATTTTTCGTAACCGTAATTTCTGAAGTAAAATTTTTGCTATTATAATACATTTGTTAGTTACATTTGTGTTATAAATTTCCTGTATAGTATAACTTAAAGTATCCAAATTAGAATGCCATAGTAAGTCTAAAGTATTTGTTTAATTTTCCTTGCCAATGTTTAATATGTTGGACTGAATTATAAATATTTTCAATTATGTACTTAATTTATTAATATCTGATATTCATTTATTTATGAAAATTGATCAGATTTCAAAATTAATATTATTTCATGATATACATCATTAATACTATCAGATATTGTTAACAGAAGATTGACTTAAAAATAGCTTAGAACTTTACTTACATGGGATAAATATCTATATGTTGATTAGCTAATTCCTGAAAACAGCGAATAGCTAAGAAAAGTGAAGATGTTGTGTCATATGGAACAGTATTTAATTCGTAATACTCAGTAGGTTTTGTAGTGTCAGACCGTTATAAAATTTGTTGTAATTTTCTAACATTGGTAAGTATCAAAATTTGGTGATACATCTCGATTCTGCTGAATGCAAACTGTAAATTCTTCATTGAATAGCCTGTATCAGTTTTAGAACATGACTCATATTTAGTAGGTAGTTACACTTAACTCTTTACAAAATGATGGGGTATGAAACAATCACCATTATCCGTATGTATATTTGTATAACAGTTAGTTGATTGCTATCATTATGTGTATTGTTATTTACCACTTTCTTTTTTTTTTTGGACGTGTGTAAACACTTATGTGTATGTAACACTAGCCTTTATAAATAACTAAATAAATGGAATATAATCGTTTTGAAGCTATGCTCCTTGATTCTCCCAAAAGATCATAGGTAATTTCAATGGTAATCAACAATAAATTGTCCTTCATTATCGTATTGTTGCTTTAAATGAAGATTCAATTTCCATATCATCATATTGGAAATTTATTTAATTGATTGTCAATGTCAGAATCTGAAATGCAGTTACAATATGATAAATAATTAGAAAATGTTTATAGAATTTCACTGATAGTCCAGTCGGTATCTGTTTCGGGATGGATGTTTTATATAGTAACACTAATTTTTGTTGGAAGTAGTTCTAAATATTATGTAAAATGATAATTGCAGTATGCGCCCGCTGAAAAAGTTGTGCATAACTGTTAGCGCCAGAAAATGTAAAAAAAAAATTTAAAAAGGTGTAATTTTCTCCCTTTTTTTATGTATAACTTGGAGAATATTGACATTAGAGAAAATAATCAACGGAAAAATAGTTTTGTTTTGAGATTCTCTTCAAAATAAAAGTGGGCCGAAATTTTTATGTGCATTATTGTTGCTGCAGTACAGTATAGACCAAAAAAAAAATTGTGAAAGAGGATGTTTTTTTTTCATGAATTTATGTCGGACTTTGACTTGAGAGCAGCCATATAAAAAGTATGGTTCTGAGTACCTCATGATATGGTAGTATTGCAGAAATTTTTTCATCGAAAGCGGTCGGGTAGATTTCGCACAATTCAATAATTGAAGGGTATCCGGTTCAAATAGGCTGTGCCAAAATTAAAAAGCCGATATACCTTCAAAAAACATTTTTTTTGAGGGCTATTTTAAAAAGGGTGATATAAACATTAGTTTAACTTTAACTTTTTATTAGTACTTACTAAAAATATTTGTTTTATTTATTTCCCATAAATGTATTTCTTTAAATTTTCCTAACAGAAACAAAATGAAAAAAATATTATTAGAAACATGCTAAGTGCCATATATGAGAAAAGTTAAATATTTAGTAAGTATTAAACATTATACCAATAATTGAAAGACTAAACTAAAAATAACTCTATTTAACATGAAAGTAGCAAAAAAAGTTTACAAATAATATATTTTATACTTTTTCTTATTTTAACAAGTTTCCAGAATCCAAAAGATTCCATATCTATGATTTCAAAAGGCGGGTTATATTTTGCAGATCTAATAACATCAAGCAAATCACGAGGAACCATAGCTTTCATTACTCATTTGCGCTCATTAGGTATACTAAAATATACGTACAAATAAAATGTCCTAATAGATGAACATAATATTTATGGTAATTCTATAAAATTAAAATCAGCCACTTTTGTGGACCTTTAGATACTACTTTACGTGCAACAAAAATTTAACCTACCTGTAGTTTAGGTTCCGGCTTTTTAGGTATTGTTTTATTACCCCCAGTTTTGCATTCCAGTCCTGCCACTTTTAATTTATTTTGTTCATCCCTGAATTGGCCACATTTTTTGTCAGCTTCTACAACAGATAACGAATCTAGTCGCTATTATTTTGCTGTAAAACGACCTTGACAGTAGTTTGTGTTCGTTACTCTTGAGATTTCAATTGCCGCAGGAGCGTATTCGTGATATATAGGTAAATATGACTATAATGCAAGAAAATGCTATTATATTTTTCTACTTTTCATAAGTAGTAAATTTCCTTTTATTTTAACAAGTCTATTTTCAATTTTGTGAAATATTAATAAAAGTTTTCGTAGCTGGATTTTCTATACATTATACTGTGTATTATCTACTTTATTCTTTATTTTGCATATAAATTTAAATTGAAAGATTTTTTTGAATCGACATTGTAAAATCTTGCTTTCCTCTATAGATTAAAAAAAAATACATTTATTTATCTGTTATATAAGCTGAGAAAAAGTCGATTGAAGTTGCGCGAGTGAATTATTCTGCTCCGCTCGCATAGTCCCCCCAGTCCATACTCTTTGACTCTGCTCGATTCCTGTGAAATGTATCAATCTTTTTTTGCATCAGAACAGTTAAAATATATTTCTGATTGAAACAAATTTTTATAGTTATAAAGCCTTTGCTTCAAACAATCAATTCAATTGTTATTGTACAGTATGTTGTTTTGCCGTAAACTCACTTCAACTTTGAGCTTTCATATCTCGATGACAATTCATCGTATCCACAAGATCAAAAATAGATTTTGTTTGTCAATCCTTCCTCTATTTGATCCTACATTTGAAGAATATGCAAATACGGTAGTTCCAGCTCTAAATATTTATAAATATTTTTTCAAAGAAATTTTGAAAAAATTCTAATTGCTAAAATAAATAAAATCGAAAATTTTTAAATGGCGATTGATAGTTGAGACTTCAAAGGGTATGTATAAAAATTGGGAGCTCAAAATAATAGTTGGTTTTACCATGAGTGAGAATTGAAAAATCAGTATAATTCTGTAATATCTTAATTAACAATTGAATTGTGCGGAATCTACCCGGCCGATTTTGCTGAAAAAAATTCTGCAATTCTACTATTATGAATTACTCAAAACCATACTTTTTATATGGCTGCTCTAAAGTGAAGTTCGAAATAAATTCATGAAAACATATTTTTTCACGATTTTTTTTTCGGTTTATACTGTATTGCAGCACATAAAAATTTCGGATAACTTTTATTTTGAAGAGAATCTCAAAATGAAACTTTTTATTTTATTATTTTCTCTATGGTCAATATTCTCCGAGTTACACATGAAAGAAAGGAGAAAAATGCTCTTTATTTAATATTTTTTTTACATTTTCTTGGGCTAACAACTATGCACAAGTTTTTCAGCGGATGCATATCGCAATTATCATTTTACATAACATTTAGAACTATTTCCAATAAAAATTAGCGTTAGTATATGAAACATCCATACAACAGATACCGACTAGACTACTAAGATAATTCACCCAAAAGATGTTTTTTGCGATATTAAATTATTATGACTTATTGATATTTGCCTAACACGTAATAATTTTTAAAATATGCTAACACCTAGAAGCATATCCACTTCACTGGATTCATTAAAGTTTTGTTCGGCTAAAGTAATGATTTTTGGTATATTCACATAATGTGATTCACAATATTTTCGCTAAAAGCAATGGAAATTTATCTGGTAATAATTAAACAGTTTACATAGAATACAACTGAATTAATATTAGAATGTATTTTAATATTTGTAGAATATTTTAGACGGGAAGAAATAATCAAATCAGAAGTGGTGCTATTTATTTTTTATTACTCTATATTCAATTTATTTGCAAAATTCCATGTGATAAAGTTTGATTGAGAGCCTGAGTCAAATAATACTTGAAAATTTCTGTGTTCATCTAGTACTTAGTATAGTAAACTGCGATGCCTCTTTTGACACTGCAGTTTGAACTGTGACAATTTGCATTTTTATTATTGGTTTTGAGACAGTTAGAACACAGATGATGTCTGTTATATGGTTTATCTGCAGATACTATACCCCTTATAGTCATCATTGTCTTATCAGCTGTTTTTATTAACATTCTTTTTGTAAAGGAATGTGAGAATAAAGCAATCTAAAATCAGCGAAATTTATAACAATCATCACAATTCTCCTCCTCCTCCTTCTGGAATACCACCGCATTATTATTAATACCTATATACATTATTATTATAGTACAACTGGACAAATTTCACTTGAGCCCTGAAATGCCTTAATCAAAAGGAGATCATACTTGGTAATTTGAGCTGGAAATTCATGCAGCAAGTAATCCACAGTTCACCACTCCATTAATTTGCCACTGCGCATCCTGTCTTCAGGGCTTAAATGAATTTGGTTTACCTTTAATAGCATCATTTCAAACACCATTTTATTTAAGGCAAAGATCAAGGACAAAATGTAAGAGAAAAAGCAAAACAATTAGTAAATTTGTTAAAAGATGATGAGAGGTTGAAAAACGAGCGTGCAAGAGCATTGAAAGCAAAAGAACGTTTTGCTCAAAGTGCGAGTGGCTTCGGAAGTGATGGAGGTCTGGATACCCCAACTAGTCCTAAATATCCTGCCTTTAGAGGTGACTGGAACAGCAAAGACTCAAGTACGTAAACTTTTCAAATTGTGCATTATTGTGTTCAAAATTGTAAATTTTTAACTTATTGAACGCTTATGACATATATAATAGTCATGAGCAAAGTCAATAAATAGTGATTATGACGGATATATACGCTGCTAAATAATTTGTGTATGTCTGCTTAAGATGGAAAAGTTCGGTTGTATGTATTTGTTGCGAACTGATATATAACGACTAGCACGGTATAAGTTGTTTTATCCAACACTTGTATATATAATGATACTATAATTTCTTTAGTTTTAAAGGAATAATGTGAGTTATAAGTCATAAGTCACTAGTGAGTTATAAAACCCTTGGATACAGACACAATTTAGGTTGACACTCGCATCCTTTGTAATATTTAAAAATACATTCATTTCATTAAATTACTTTTTCTGACATTGACAACTTGAAATTTTAAATTACTTTTATTTATAATTAAAACGAAATTCTATGAAAGTGTTGGATAAAATTTTGTATGGCACTCGTGTGTTAAGTCATATAAGTCACTTGGGAAAATTCAAAACATTTCCCAGGGTGACATATATATGTTAACACACTAGTATCATAAATAACTATTATCGATTCTCCAGATTTATTAGCCTTGATCTGTTTACATGTACCACAACATGACTTTAGAGTAAATGCACGGTTTCATGAAACTTTTTATCTGGTCAAACTAATTCTGGTCAAAACTCTCCTATAAACAGAATATGTAGACATTTTAACTTGTACTATAGTACTCTAGATGTCTTACACTCCTCACTCACTAGTTTTAAAAAATCTTTCAAGGGAACTATTATTGTAAATTAACATTTTCTATTATAAAAATACATATATTATAAATAGAAATTTTAGAAGTTAGAATTTAAGAAAGTTTATTCTTTGTCATTTACCGCCCAGTCAAGAGTTTGAGCAACTCCTCTATGTCTGTGTATTAGTAAATAAAAGGACAGTGATATAAGATTTTGGTTAAGCTTCCTATTGACAAATGACACAATTAAAGCATAGTCTGTCACAGGGTTGCCAGATACCGCAATAGCAATGGGCTATCTTTTTTGTCCAGCTGCGAAGGCAAAACTGATTCGGATATATGTATTAACCCAATGAATGAACTTTATTATTGAGTTTTGTGTTTTTTAATGAAACTATTAAAAAATATTAGATATTTATAATTGCCTCCCTAACATGGTGCTAATCCATCAAACTCGACTACACAGTATTTTATGTTATTTAATAACTATTAATTTAATCCTATTTCATAGCAATTTAAGCTGATTTCCATAAATATGCACTCCATTACCACCATTACTCCCATTACTATTGCTACCATGACCACTATTACCATCATTACCACATCGACCACTGTACCACTACCATTACTACCAAGACCACCACCGCCACCTTCACACCACCGTCATCGCCACCACCATCGCCATCGCCTCCACCGCTGCCACCACCACGGCTTTCATCACCATCACTACCATCACTTCTATCACCACTACTACCACCGCTACCACTTTCACCACTACGAATACTACCACACTACGTTAAAATTTTCTAATTGATATGGACATCTTAATGTTTATATCCAAAAACAATTTTACAGACTAATTTTATAATAAACACTTTTGCAGCTGATTTGCCAAGAGATATAGAAATTGCCAGACCCCAAACTGCTGGAGAGGAGGAATTACAATTACAACTAGCCTTAGCGATGTCTCGTGAGGAGGCAGAACAAGAGGAGCAAAAGAGAAAATCTGATGATGTTCGACTTCAACTAGCTTTAAGTCAAAGTCAGCAGGATTTTAAGTGAGTAAATATTATTTTATGTTTGTAATAACTGTTTTATAGAGAGTACAATTTATTAAAGATAACTTTAAAATTAATCGATCACCCACATGCCACACACCACACAGAGACACATGATAAAAAAAATATGTTTTGATTTACCTAAATAATACTGCGAAACTAACGACCTCTAGGAGCAATGTCAAAATAAGCCCTTCAAATTAGTAATTCTCACACCAAAAAACCCAACATTGCCAATTTTCAGTCATGCAAAACTTTCTCAATTATTGACTTTCAGAATAAAAGTTAAACTTTGACCAACCTGTATTTCTTAAACCAGCGACATTCTTATAAGACAAGATGAGCTCAAATATAATATTTTGGTGTCTAGTATCTCCAGCTTAGTGTTGACCCATTCTTTCTGACTCACCCTGCATATACAGGGTGTTTTTGAATGGAGTAGCATAAATGATACCAGTGAATCTACATTTCAAAAGAACACAATCTGCAAAAAATCGCCTTAGTAAAATGTTCACCCCTGAAGGGATATGGGCCATCAAAGTTTCCAAAAAAATGATGAAAATTGGCTGTAATTTGAAAACCGAAC